TACTCTTGATGATCATACGATGTATTAGAAGGCAGTGTCGATCATCGAGTATGTCTACATCCTAATGGAGTGGTCAGCTGTTTCCCATTATTTTTTATTCGAGATAACTCATTTAAGAAAAACATAGATGTTTGATCCCTGTATGTATGAATCATTCATTGAAAATACAGAAGTAAATGGCAAGTTTTTTTAGCAAAAGTATTTCTAGTTCTTTGAGAAATAGCTTTATTTTGTTGACAGACAATTTCTTAAGGAATTCTATATTCAACAGTTCATTAATGAAGCAAAACTAAAGATAGCTCTTATGCGCCACTGTCCTTTACCTCTCTATTAGGAATATTCTGTTTCATTTAATCAGATTCATTATTTGAAAGAAAGTAAGAGGAAAATCATTCTCGAAAAAAACAATCAATATTAATTGTGAAAAATTATATTGAACTAAGCGAAAACCTTTATCAACAATATAAAGAATTAATTTTTGAATAATAATTTATTTTCTCATATAGTTATTGTGAAAAGTCAAACCACTAAGAACATCAAGTTTGATAAGAGAACAACGAAAATATGTGTATTTTCTGACACTTAATTATTACATATTCAATATTTCTTTTTTATTATTAAATATTATTTCTTTCAATGTTTGTTGAATTCTCTCATTGTTGAAAAACAAGAATGATATTCACATTATGAAAACTTTGTAAACTTTTAAACCATTTACGAACATTCATATCGTGAATCAAAGTAACTTTAAATCAAATTAAGACTAATTCAAAACAATTTTAACCTATAAAGTCAATAACGAATAACTGAAATTTTAATTAAAAGGATTAGTTCCTTTTTCGAATGTCAATTTATGAAAGATCCTCATTTTTTCGGAAATTTATTGTTGTTCAATATCAATGATCAGAACTTTAGATATATTCTTGGAACTGTGAAACAAATTTCTAGGCAAATTTAATATTCTTATCTCTGTTCATATATCAAATTATTGTTTCAAAAAGTATGAAAAAAATAATGATTTACTCATATAATTTTCACTCAAGTGAAATAAATATATGATTGTCTGACAATAAAAAAGTATCATTTCTTTTTTGGTTATATTTTGGTTAGAATGAAACGTTTTATCGAAGGATAATGCTGCTGTTAATCCATCGAAACCCGCGTTAGATAAATGAAAAGCACATTTGTTTATATCCTTCTACATGTACACGTATGCCTCAAACTCTGATCTATGTTACATTTCATGATAAATCAAATAAAAAAATTCATTTTTATTCAACTATGTTTTTTACTAAGATTATTTGTATCTATAATAAAAGAGTAACTCGCACTTTAATCAAACTTACTATCGAGAATATACACTCAATACACGCAAACATCATTATTTTCGACATTTTACACCAGAAAATATTAATAAGGAACAAGATAGAAAAAGAAGAAACCAGGACAAAGAAAAACGAGGAAATATTAACATCGTACAGAGTTACGGAAGAATGATTGGATAGTTGACATTGTACAATATGGTATACGCGAGAGACGAAACACAAAAAAAAAAAATAAAAGATAGAAAAAAAAAAAAAAAAAAAAAAAAAAAGAGAAGAGAGAAAAAAAAAAAAAAAAAAAAACACAAAATAGATTGAGGAAGAAACACCCACCGGTGAATAACAGATCAGAAAAATTTCAGAAGGACTCGGGAAATTCCTTCAATATCTCGATATCATCCTGCGGGAACTGAACAATTGTGTCCGTAAGGGGGTTTTCGTCCAGCCAGGACAGACATTTTTCCAACACTGTTTCATGGTCTATGAATCGTCAGTAAATAATGATTATTCTAAACAAGCAATGAAGACTAACAATATAGATGATGAATGAATTTCTAAAAGGATTTTTTGAAGACTTTTATATGGTTATGTAGAGAACATATTTCATGCTACATTTAATATTGCTTGTCCCAAAAAATAAAAAAGTTATGAAACTTTAAACCAAACTACCCACATAACGGTTCACCTTCTTCGACGGTCAGAAAAATGGGTGGGTTTGGGTGTGCGTATGATGAAAGAGAAAATCGACAGCCACATCAACATCCATTTCGCAACCAACACTACCGCTTGCCACAATTTCGGGCAAGGTGCAAGTAGCTGTACTATTTGTTTAGATTCCTATTCTCCAACAATCAGATATCTATTCACTACATATTGTAGCATTTCGGGAGGCGTTTCTAGCGTCACAGATGATGTCTGTGACATCAAAAGCGGTGATTATAGGGCCTAAACTGCTACGAATAGCATGTCAATGTATCCCTCCAAAAGCCACATTTAGCACGTGTATTAAAATTAAAAATACTACTACTTTAATGGAAACAATATAGGGTTACTTAACTGGATTGCTATTAGTGCCGAAGCCTTTATTCTTAATATTTAATGTTCATCGAATAAGTATTACTATTAATTTTAATACTAATGATAAGCTGACATTTATCCATTCCAAGATCCTACCTGGAAGTACGGCGCATAAGTTTCGTATATAACTATTGAACACAGCTGAAAGGTTTCTTAAAAGAATACTATTATCAACATATGGATAATGTGCGGTGCAACAAACAGTTTTTATATTAGACATGCTGTTTTATTTTTTCTTAATGTCTAATTCAATAATATTCTGGGCTCGTCTCCATATCTCAATTACTTTTAATTTCTGAGCATCCACCAGAGGACTAGATAACATGGCTGGAGAAAAGATTTTGATTCTAGATGTAATTATCATAAACGTTGACCTTATAGTCCAATATTGACTGTATGTTAAGTTGAAGCAAGAAAATTTAGTTTAATTTCAAATTTTCAATCTATGCATTACGAAAAGACAACAGTGGAGTTTTTCAAACATTAAAATATGAAAAAATCCAATTCAACATGTTTTTATTTTATTCTTGAGTACATATAACAAATTCACAATAAAAGAATTTTCTAACATAACCAATATGTTATTAAAGCCAGATTTCAATCGTCTTTGTAGAAACTCGTAATCGAAATGGTCGACTAAGTGGATATTGATGCAGTTGTCGTCGGATTAAATGTAGAAAACAAGGCGTGTCAGAAACATTCGTATCGCAAAATCTGATACGTAGCGAAACAAGTTTTTGAAATTGATCAACAAGCAGATAAATAAGATTAACAATACGTTTTGTAGATTTGTTTTTCTCGTCAATAATACAAGAGGGTTTCCATTGCCCTCGATCATATGCATCAAAAATAGTAAATGAAAGTTTGTTCAAGTTAGGTAATCGATTCGACAATAATGTACAAATTCGTTGAGCATTTGCAATGTCAATGTTTCATTGTAGATCTCAAATGATTTTATCTAATTAGTAGAAAATATAATTTGTCTCAACAAAATGAAAATATTTTTTTAGTTATCTAATAAATTAAAATCTTTATAATAATCTTTCTCTTTCTATATTAAATTTTAAGAAAACATTTTTTCGAAAGAATATTTGAACATTAGTTCGAACAAAATTTGCAGAAAAAATAATTTCATTGAAATTTTTGTTTTAAAATAAAAATAGAAATTCTTTCTTGTTGATTGATTAGAGTTGCGAGATTATGATTATTATTTAATATTGGGCGAAGTAAAATTCCTTTGTCATCAAACACTTCTAATGTGTATACGTTAGAAGCCATCCGTAATATTGATTCCAATGTGGCCAGAGTAAGAACATCACTATCATTGATTGATATATTTGTTACTAATGATCACGGAACTAATGATGATAAAGAACTTTTACAGTTACCGAGATTTCGAACACAATTAGTCTTCTTATAACCGCGCAGAGAAATTGTATTAGCGCGTGGAAGTAGATCTACTGGATTAATCGGCATTTTACAAGACCTAAATAGAAAGCGAACATAGATTCCCATTAATCTTTCATATAAATAAATATTTTTCACATACTTTTTAAGACCTGTAGAGAATATGTATGATGAAAGAGTTATATCATTACATGGTAAAGTATACACCATAAAACAATGATATGTAGGACCGATATCTTGATCATCAAGTTCGTGAATGAACACTTGCGGACGCTGTCGACGAATAAATGAAACTTTAAAAAATGAATTGTAAATTATTTTTTCTGCAAAGTCATTCGAAATGTATAATAATAGATCAAGACTATAAGTCGCCATTGGTTGAAGACAATCGATACACAATTGGTGAATAATATCACCTGATATAATCAAGGGACCAGAAATTAATGTAAGTGCTTCTAACTTTAATGACAAAGTTGACCGAGCACGGATGATAAAAATGCAATAATTCGATGAAAACTTATGCTATTCATACAATTCATACGTAGACGAGATAAGTATCAAAGATGAGCATCAATAGTAGTAGGCAATCTAAAAGGATTCATGTAATTGACAATTTTATAAATAATAATTGTTACTTACAAGATCGTATCATGTGCATCATTCTCATTAATATTTTGATCTTCTATGCCAAAAGAAAGATTCTCAATAAATGGTATACATAACAGTAAACGCTCAAGAAAACGTAACGTGTGTATACCAATGGTCAATGTACGAAGATGATTTGTATTTAATAAATTCGGTAAAGTCATTTGATATACCAATGAATTATTTCCGACTTGATCAAAATTGCTATCATTATGAAAAAAGGGAAGTTGACAAATTTCTAGATGAGGTATTCTTGAACACACTTATTATTAAATTAAAAATAATTAGATTTTATCAATCGTTAGTTCATTAAGTTTTTTGTTAACTGAAAAAAGATTCGAATTCCACAGTAAATAGTAGTTCTTTTTCTACCTTAACTAGATAAACTCCTTCAATTTGAAGAAAGTTGAATGAATTAAATGGCGTCACATCAACTAATAAAGTATGTAAGCGTTTTACCACATGATTACGCAATCATTTATCAAATTCATGTGGTTTAATGTCAACCAGATGTAGACATTGAAGCAATGTTATCTGATGATACTGAAGCTAAGATGAAACGAGTGACCACCCACCAATAACATTGGTTAATGTTAGACCTAATGAGACAATGGGACCTCCGATTAATTTCAAAATATTTTGGCATTGTTCATTAAACATCAATAATGACATTGTTGTATTACCGATATGAATGTGCCATAAATATTCATGTGATAAAATTCTTGATAAACGTTTGGTCAATGAAAATAATGATGGAAGAATATCAACTGGAGACAAATAAACACAAATTTCACAAAGAATATCGTCCGGTACAATTTCGAATGTACTAACACTCATTTTTTTTTCACTCCTATTGTATACTCATACTGACCCTTTATATACTCACATACACAATGGCATACTTCCATCAGACGATCGGACGCTTGAATATGTCCCTTTCCAAGATCACCACAGTTCTATCCTACGTTCTCTATCTTTGTCGTTACTATATGCGTGCATGTCCTGATCGGTAATCGTTATCATCATTGCATCTCTATGTTAACTTGCTTTTATAAATCATTTGAATATTCAGATTTAGTCAGTAGTTAAAAATAAAAGTTACCTACCTAATTCTGGTAATTGATATAAGTATTCTTATGTATATACTTATATAAATATATCCCATATATGAGTTAATGTTTGGATAATAATATCAATAGAATCGATTAAATAAATTCCATCATAATTTTCTACATATGCTAAATTAGCAATAATTTCAAGTACAGGCATAATTTTAAAACGATCTTGTTGTCCATTTTCTTCATTACCATCTAACATATCAGGTAATAATCGTCGAATTAAACGTTTTTCATCATTAGCGATTGAAAATAAATGCATATAAAATGCTAAATGAGTCTATATATCATGAGCATATTTTTGAAATTCAATTTTTTTCACAATATGACATTAAGAACAAAAACATGTAAGTTAGTGATGATGATCAGTGAATTGTATCAAGTAAATAAATTGCCTTCGTACGAACAAATGAAAGATATCATATTATCATTAAAATTTGTTCAATACAAAGTTGTTGCTGTTTTTGATTTTTATTTCAATTAAAATTATTATATATTTATGTTTAGGGTTTTTTACTATTAATATTTAATAATTTTCTAATAATATCTGGTGAACATGAATCAATTCAAAACTTTTCCATATGATAATTTAAATGTTTTGACCATTCATTATCATATAAAATTTTTAAACAATGATCATTTATTAAATTATTATTAGATTAAAATAAACCAATATGACGAAAAAGTATATCTAATAAACCTGAACATTTACGTAAATGAAATGATGTTGTCGTATTTGTTATTGATAGTAATAATAGTAAAGTATTTACTGTAAATGTTAACTCATTTGGAAAACCACATGATAATGCTAATTCTAATTTTTCATATACATTTTGACCAACAATCATGAAAATGACCATATTGAGCACGTAGTGAATCTATTCAAGATGATTTTATTATAAAACAGAATACTACTCTTTTAACAAAATTTATTTATCCAGCACATGTTAAGCATATTTATATGATTGTGGTACACGTTGTAATTGACAAAATATTACGTCGTTTAGAATCCTCTTCATCATCATCATATGTAATCGATGTGAGATTCTTTTACACTTTAGGACCTCAGGCATATGATTGGTCACAACACAAGCACGAAAGTGTGGGTAAGGGTGAGAAAGTTGATTATTTGGGGTCCTAAAATGTAAAAGCTCTGGTGTCATTGGTGAGACGTGCATCTACTATTAATTGGAAGAAAGAAATGTCTTTTAACCTCTTGACAGTATACCATATTTTTTATAATCGAAAATAGATTTAAGTCTTCCGTTGATTCAATCGTTTCAATAGAAATCTATATGATAAATGCATCAATAATATAAATTTCAATTACAAACTTAAAAAAAATTAAAATCACAATGGAACAACTTTCACGTTTAACATTTCCAATGAATTATTACGAATCATATAATTTAACTAATTCGATTTTAAACCCAACAACACCATCAACATTAGAAATGAAATCAAATGGAATTATTGATTATATTGGTTCACATCTTGAACGAATTCGATTACTTGTTATTGTTTATTTATTAACAATAATATGGATACTTTATCTTATATTATATCATTCGCGTACACAAGGTATTACATTATTTTATACAGTGGCTATCAAAATTATTCGACTAGGTATATTTTCAATTTTTTTCTGCTACTGTAAACGCTAACAATGATCCAAATAGTGATTTCACTAGAAAATTTTTTTTTCCAATAATAATTAATAATAATAAAAGTGGTTGCTTGTTTTCCAATGATAGGATCTCTAGAAAATGAAAACCAAAGTTTTTCAGCTCCTAGAATTTGTGAATTTAAATTTTTTCCAACTACCGAGTATCATAGAGTAGAGAATTCTGTACAAAATGAGACGTTTCTCAGCTCTCTGCAATCTTTTTTTAGATGAGGTACACGGAGTGCACAGAACGCAAAAGATTCATTTTTTTTTGCCATTTTCTGTGTAAAAGGAATTTCTATGCCTTCTGTGCACTCCGTGTACCTCATCTAAAAAAAGATCGCAGAGAGCTGAGAAACGTCTCATTTTGTACAGAATTCTCTACTCTATGATACTCGGTAGTTGGAAAAAATTTAAATTCACAAATTCTAGGAGCTGAAAAACTTTGGTTTTCATTTTCTAGAGATCCTATCATTGGAAAACTAGCAACCACTTTTATTATTATAAATTATTATTGGAAAAAAAAATTTTCTAGTGAAATCACTATTTGGATCATTGTTAGCGTTTACAGTAGCAGAAAAAAATTGAAAATATACCTAGTCGGATAATTTTCGGAGCTACTGTATATTACGTCGATTGTTTTAAAGATTCAATACAAATTAAATTTGATTCATTTTCAATATCATTTATAATGGATGCAATTATATTAAGAAATTTACATTATACTACAGAAAGTTATTTTGTTTTTGTTAAAGATGCATATTTATTTTTTCGTTATTGGTCAAGAACAAAAACAAAACCAATAGTAGAAAGTTTTTTAGCAACACAGTTTGTTTTTATTATATTTGTATGTATTACAAATTCATTTTTAGAAATGTATATCTATTCTATCTAATTGTTAAGTACATTACGATAGAGATGATTGTAATAAAAATGATATACTCCAATAACAAGTAATCATGCTGGAGAGCACAATATTAATGAAGTTTTTGTACTAATAATAAAATTTTATACTAACAATAAGTTTTTCATCATAATAATAACAATAATATTCATATTGTTTTTTTTATTAATTATATCAATAATAATAATTTCTGGATATTCATGGAAAATAGAATAGATATACATTTCTAAACATCAATCTGTAATTCATGTAAATATAATAAAAACAAACTGCACTGCTAAAAAACTTTCAATTAAAAACTCATAATCTAGTCCTATGAGATATACTCTTATTTATATACATAAAACCAATAATAAATGTAACCATTAAATTATACCATCTTGATATACAAGTTTTTCGTTCAATGCGTTCAAGTACATTATCGGATAATACTAATAAGAATTTAACAGATGATTTACAAAGAGGATCAATCAATGATAAAAAAACAAACATGATTATTTCAATAAAGCATTTTCATTTTGAGAATTTCAAACAAAGATGATAATGTCCAAAGTGAAAATATAATGAAAAGTAGTCAGTTACTAGTGGTTAGTTTTCCTCTCCAGATCCATTATCTATTATATCAATAAGATGAATCATTCAGTTTACTCGAAGAATAGAGTACAAGAATGTTGCCTTTTGGCAACATCCGGCTGCAAGAGTACAAAAAGTTGGGAATATTGATTTATTTTTCCTTGATGGAAGTTCAATAATTTGCTGTTAGTTTTAGTCCAGATTATCAAACAAAAGCATACTTTGTTTATCTGCCCACCTCTTACAGCCTCAATGTGCGATATATTCCCATAATACTCAATAACTTTCTGAGATAGTGCATATTTCACCTATTTTCCCCAGAGAAGCTCACAAATTCAGCGAGATTCTAACAAGATTTACAGTACATCATAGTATTTCTATTCAGACTACTATAAAACATTATTAGTCTTGTTAAAATCTTACTAAATTCATGGGCTTCCCTAGGGAAAATAGGTGAAATTTGCACTATTTCAGAAAGTTTTTGAGTATTTTGGCAATATATTGCACATTGAGGCTGCAAGAGGTAGGCAGATAAACAAAGTATGCTTTTGTTTGACAATCTGGACTAAAATCAAGAGCAAATTATTGGACTTCCATCGAGGTAAAATAATTCACTTTTCCCAACTTTTTGTATCCTTGCGACCGGTTGTTGCCAAAAGGCAACATGTTGGCATTCGGCTCAGTATCAGTTCTTTTAACTACAAGATAGATTTCGGTAACCTCCACATCTAAGAAACAAAGAATATATAGAAGGAGAAACTTTTGCTTGCTATCTTCTGGTAGCCGGCCGTAAAGGGTTAAAAGAAAAGATGCTTTTCGGCCTTCTTTCCAGAATTATAAGCACTTTACAAGAAATTTTAGCCTCAAGCATCGTAAACATCAATAACTCAAATGACGAGATTTTGCCTAGCGGTTTCCACATCCGTCTCTGAAAAATGATCCTAATATAGTCTAAAACTTTTCGTACAAGCTGCTATATATGAAACATTTAAATGAAGATAGTTTGAAGATAAAATTCAAAAATATAATTAAAAAAAAAACGGAGTCTCTGATGAATATACACATTAAAAAGCTGTAATAGAAAAATACTATCTATTGAAAATTTACAATATATATATACTCTTATAATTACACGACCTATTAAGATGTAGTGTCACTCATCAAATATGTCCATCACTATAGAATGGACATTGATTTGTAATAATTTTCAATTGAAAATGTCTTATTTAGGAGGAATATAAATTTCTGATAATTCTATCTATGAATCATATATTTATAATACAGATATGAATGTCAATGTTTTGAATAAAACTATGTCTAGAATTTTCTGTAATAGATTTATTTTGTTGGCAAATGATTCCTTGTGGAATTCCACATGCAATAAATCATAAATAAACCAAAACAAAAAATGGTTCTTATGCGTCACTATCCTTTATTTTCTCTAAAGAATAATCAGTTTCACTTAATGATATTAATTCTTATAGAGATAATAAGAGAAAAACCATATTGTATTACGCGAGAACTTTAATCAACAATATGAAGAATGAAAAATATTTTATTTTATTTTTTGCATTTAACTACCGGATATTGAATAATTATCATTGAACTATTTTGAAAGCTATTATTACAGAAATATAACGAACGATATCATTTCGAAGTAAATAAAAACAAAAATTAAATTAAAATAATGAAAAATGTTACTTAAATTTTAAAGAAAATCATTAGTTTATTATTGAAATATTGACTTATGAAAAGTTTTTATTTTTTTCAGAATTTTATTTTGTGACATTTGATCATTATTCAATACCTATGATTACAACATTGGAAATATTCTTAGGAGTATTAAACGAATTTAATAGAATAACAGAAAACAAACTTTATTTTTGTTCATACCTCGATATATGTACATCTAGGCCTGAAACTATGATCTATGCAAGACTTTAGAATAAATACTATGGAAAAATAGATTTTTTTTTCAATTATTTCCATGATTAAGACGATATCTTTCTATAATTAAAGCATAACTAACACTATTTTTTTTTTACTTTAGTCAAATTTCACCCTCGAGAACTTACACATATATGTGCAAACATCATTATTTTCGACCTTTTAGAATAAAAAATATCAAGAATATACACATATAGAGTAAATTAGTGACTATTCTAAACAAGTAATTAACTTTCTAGAAATATAGATGATGAATGAATTTTTTAAAGACTTTTATATAGATTGTGTAGAGAATAATTCAAGCTACACGTCAATATTTCTTCTCTCAAGATACGTCTAAAAGTAGAAAAGAAAAACAAGTTATGAAACTTCGAAGTTCATTTTTCGAGAAGGTCTTCAGATATGCATCAACTCATTTTACTCATATATATATATATATTAACGTCGAAAATGATCGATCAGACATAAAACCAAATCCAAGTATTTACAATAATGATTTATTCTAAATGAGAAGAATGAGTGAAAAGTTCGATTATTGTCTCTTGGCAAAAAAATACTTTTTTTTCTTGTTTCGATTGTTTAATACAATGTAAACGTTAATGTCAAAATTGAATTCGATGAAACTATGCATTAGCCCAAACAAAGTTAGAATTTCCATTTTGTTCAATGAAAAATGAAGTTCAATTTAAAATAAAATTCTCTTGAAATAAAATAAAAATTCTTGTTTTCTATAGATGAGATTTAAATTCTAATAGAAGTAAATTGTTTTAATTGACAATAGTTAGATTTTGAACTAAAAAAGAATTTTGCTCGTACATTAAAAAGTATCTCAAATAGAACAAAACTATGTTTTATAGACAATAATAAATAATCTGAAAAATTTCTTAGACTTTCATTTTAGTTTGATATCAACTATGTTTATTTCTATATTTAGCTTGACGAAAAATATTTAAAATTTTCTAATAAATAGTTTCAAGTTCAATATTGTAAGTTTAACTGTAGTCTTCTGTTAATTTGACTTATTGTTTTATTTTTATAATAAAATCAAGTTCGAAAAATGTATAAGGCTTCCTGTCCGTCAAAAATTGATCTTCGATTAGCTTTATTCAAATTACATGAACTATTTAGCATATGTTCGATCTATAATGGAGAAATAATACTCAAATATACAGACATATATCATGACGTCCGAAGATGAAACTATTCGATTTATCCTTATCATTATCTCTAAAAAGAAAAACATTGTCAATTCTTAAAATAAACAATATTTTACGTAAATAATATGAAGAAGTTGTTTTGTTATAGATTTATGAAAAATAACAGCAGTGTTTATTTAGATAAAGAGTAGTAGATGACGGTTACTTAAGCAAGTAACTAATAACGAAAAACCTAACTATTATTGTAATAACGAAGGAAAGATAAATGGAAAAACTTTTATTCATTATAGAATGTAATGATAACTTGTTTTTTTTTTCTAGTGGTTATCAGTTACTCTTATAAATAGTTTCCGTCACCAGCTGTCTAATATTTGTTTTTTGATAATTTATTAGATAATTATAAACTTACCGTTACTGTATTCTCTAGTAACGGTAACTTTTTTTTCTGTCAGTTATTTGGTAATATAAGTGTATGGTAAGAGCTAACTTCCTATGTATAACTTTAATATAATAAAATAATAAATATTTGTGACATTTGTCTGTTGATGTGGTATTAGATAATATATGGATGCATCGACACTTGCCAACAATGCGTTGTTGTTGTTTTTTTTCTCTCTTGAATAGTAAAGATGATTATCATGATAGGATATGTATTTCTTGTTTCGACTTAATTATTATTTTTATTATTTAAATAGATTTATTGAACAAAATAAATAAGATATTTTATGGATGAAAAATCTCTTTTATTGGATAATATATATGATAATCAAATAGAAAATGATGGTTTATCTTCTTCAATAAATTCAAATTATGATCAAAATATTCAATTAGAATCGATTCAAACTTCACCAAAATTATTTTCATCAAATAAAGATATTGAAAAATCTTTTAATATGATAAATCAAAACTCTTATGGAAATTTATCAGTAAGTTGAAAAAATGTTTTTTTTTGTAAATAACTAAGTCTTTTTTGTACTCGTTAATCATATTCTTGGGAGACATATATCAAGGGTTTGACTCATTTCTACTGTCGTCAAACTATGTGCGTCAATCGACACAAAAAATAACAGACAAAAAAAAAACTTTCTTGTCTTCTTCTTCTTCTTCTTCTTCTTCTTCTTTCGTATTCCCACTCATTTTTTATCTTCTGTTTCCTTATTTAGTTTAGTATAGGATCTTAGAAACAAAACAATATTAAATTTAGTATTATAACATGAATTATTAAGGATTTTTTTTTGAATTGAAATAAAAATTTCGAAAAAGAAAAAAGAAATCTTTGATTAATCGTAAGGAAAAAACAAAGTTAGTATGTGTATTATTGTTTATTTGGATGATTTTTCCTTGTGAATAAATTTGTTGTTAATGAGAAGAGTCATTGATGACATCGTCAATACTGATGAAGAGCAAAACAAAAGAGCATACCGATACCACCGGCAATTTCTTGTTTCTTCTCTCTCAGCTCATTAATCGACAACGGACATATATATATCGTTCGATAGAATAGGAACAAGAGTAAGTCTTTTTCTAAATGGCATCAAGAAGAAAAGAATCATGTTATGTCCTTCTTCGTCAATCGTCCGTTTTTTGACAATGCTTTTGGATAAGCTATAATCCTGTTCGGTTAGCATATGTATCGACATTTGTTAATCTTTGATGGCTAAAAGAACGAATCATCAGAAAGAGAGACAGATACATGTTTTCTTTCTTTTTTTCTTATGCTAGTTATACTGATGAAGATTCTCTATTCTATATCTATTTATTGATGGTACATCAACTAATACAATTATTTCTATTGTCTTTTTCTTCTTAGAAACATTTCTTTTTTTGTTTGCAAATTAATATTAATTTTTTTATTTTTGTTGTTGAAATTTGTTTATTAAAAGGATCATCTATCGAATTATCAATGTCAAAAAATTAATTTTGATTATTCTCAAGAGAATTTCTCAAAATATCGAACAGATCAATATTATAATAGACCTTTTTATAATTCTTATCAAGATTATTCTGGACAAACATTGTTATTTTGTCCAAATAACAATGAATATAATTATTTATCGTTAAATTGCAAAGTTGCTTATCATCGTTTAGAATATTTAACTGAAAAATTACTTGAATTATCATGTAAATCACATGAAAAAGTTCAAGAAAAGGAATGTAATCAAAAAATATTATCAAATCCTATTCAAAAATTATTTTCATCATCATTCAAAAACAATTTTTGTAATCATCAATCATCGAACAACGATAAACAAGATATTTTTTTGAATGTAAATAATCAACAAGAATATAATAAAAGATCATTTCATATTCCGATTGTTTATATATCTAAAAAAAAGTAATTTATTTTTTTATAATTTTATTTAAATAAACAAATATTTATTTTAGTTTTTATCCTAAAATAAAAATTATTCCTGTTAATAGTTGTCAACAATTCTTATCAAATAAACATTCGTTGGATAAAATAAAAAGTATGTCAACAATAAGAACGTTACGATCTGAATCTCAATGTTCTTCTCCACCCATTGAATCAACGGTTCCATTAGTTTCTACGAACGAAAGACGACGACATTCAATAACAACAACAAATGCATCAGAAATAAAGTCAAATATTGAAAAACTTCCTTTAAAAGATCGTCAAAAAAAAGTCACTTTAGAAGTTAAAACAAATACTTATAATAGAAAAGTACAAGTTAAAACAACACAAAAAGATACGATTTGTACAAAAACAAAATCATCAAATTCAAATGAAACTCAATTAACTTCACCACAACAAACTCAATTTGAACAACCACCAAAATCATTAAGTAATCAAAAACAAATTATTTTAATTGATTAGAAACAAAAAAAAAAAATTAATTTTTTTAGCATCAAATAGTTGTATTCAAAGTGTTCGTGTTAGTGTTAGTTCACCAACAAATGATAATAAATATCTTGATAAACCAGAACCACAATCTCCAACTTATTCATCAATGATATCAAATTTTATTCGAGAAAATCTTAATGAACAACCACAATTTGATGATAAAGAAGAAACATTTAATCATCGACCACTTCTTGATCTAATCAATGAATTAAATCAACGTAATTCATTAAAACAAACACAATATGTACCAGAACTTGATCATCATCATCAAACTTTATCACCATCACCATCACCATCAAGAATTTTACCACCCAAACAACTACCTACTTTTACACCTGTTATTGTTCATAGAAAATATCAGGTTTTATTTATTCAATATATGTTGTTGTTATTTTTTTTCTTATTAAAATTAAATTTAATTTAATTTAGGAACCAATTGGTCATTTTGATTTAGTGGATAATAGTGAAAATTCATCTTTATCAAATGTATCATTTAATCCTCGTAATAGTCGAAGTGGAGTTATGAGAAGTTATACATTTACAACACCAGATGATATTGATACTGATTCTAATAAAATATCTTCTGTTAGTACAACAACATTTCAATCAACACCTGAATTAACTTCTTCAAATCAATCAGTTATATCAAATGTTCTTAATACAAAACATAATTCACCATTATCAACAAGTGCAAGTAGTTTAACTAGTACATTAAATGTTAATACAACAGGCACGTCTACTACAAATATTGATGACAAAAATGAGGTATGCATTTCTTTGTTTTTTATTCTTATTTATTCATAATGACATATAACTATTAGAACTAATTCTATGATATTAGATGAGAAGAAGAAAAAAAACGAAGAAGAAGCAGAACGATTCACCGCCTTCGCATCTTTCTTTCTTTTATCTGTTTTTCCGATAAGAGAACAAATCTATAATATATATCTATACCTTATGTCGGAAAAAAATAAATCGAAAGCATCAACTTTTAATTGTAAATTAACTTCTACATCAAATAATGAAATATTTAATTCAAATGACAATTTTTATGCGATAAGATGTCATCAGAGTGAACTAGAATATGAATATCATTGTCGTCAAGTTCCGTTCCTTTTTTTTTTTTCTTTTTGTCAAGTTAAATAGATAATTATCATTTTATTATTTTAGGCCAAACGTAAAGCAATTGCTATGCAAATGTATGATACAGAAAAATCTTATGTTGAAGCACTTAAAAATCTTGTTACGGTTAATTTATTTTCATTTTATTTTTATTTACTGAAATTAATTTTGTATTTTATTTATAGAAATATTATTTACCAATGAAAGATAAAGATATTGTTTCCAATGATCTTATTAATGATATTTTTTATAAAATACCAGAAATTCATATTCATCATACGGTATTATCAAACTATATATTCACATTTCATACGTTCAACATTTATTTCTCAGATAGTTTAGTTATTTCAATAGGTTTTCTCAATTATTATCTAGAATATTATCTATATCAGATAGCTAAACATGTCTGCAGCTAAACTTATTGGTTTATTTTCATCTTAGTTTTGACTTGAAGTCATAAAAAACTTTTCAAATTTTTATTAAATCTTTGCTTGTTAATAATTTGAATTTTTTTAACAAAAATAACCGATGACACATAAGAGAAAAGCATAAATCGGTCAGTTATTTTTTTGATAATTGAAAATCATCAGCAAAAAAGTATATATGACAGATAAAAAAAGCGAGATATACTATTTGTGTGATACTAGTATTTTCTCGGTTACAATGACATTGACTATTTTTTTTCTACCATAATAACGTACTCAAACAACTAGGCTTGTCTTCATTCTGACTTTTATACTACGTAGTCAAGAAGAGAAATTTCGACTTTGTTAAATATATTTGTTATGATTAGATCTAAAATAAAATATAATTATATTTAAATTAATTAAAACTCATAGAATTTTTTCTCAATTTATCAAAACTTTAAAGAATTAAAATTTATAATTATTGAGACACATAGATTTAAAAGATAATACCAATATTTGATTTTTCACTAATTATTTGACCTTGAAAATATAGTTAGATGAAATACCAAATATATTATCGAATAAATGAATTATGTTAAAGTTTTGTCAATATCTATTGATAATATTCAAATATAATATTATATTTATAGGCATTTTTATTATCGCTCTCTCAAAAGTTGAATCAGTGGGATAATAAACAAACAGTTGGAGATATTGTTTTACAAATGGTAAATAAAATTTATTTTCAAAAAAAAATATTCTAATTTTATTTTAAAAAAAAAAACAAAATAGTTCACTCGAACATCAGTTATTGAAACTTATACAAGTTTTGTTAATAATTATAAAACGGCTCAAATAGCAATTCGTTTATGTCGAGATTTTTCATCATTTAATAAATTTCTTGAACAACAAGCACGTGATCATCATGGTAAATTAACATTGAGAGATTTAATAATTCAACCGGTGCAACGAATTCCAAGATATGAATTATATATAAAAGATTTTCTTAAATGTACAAATCCAAATCATCCTGATTATCAATTATTGCTTAAAGCACAATCAGAAATTCATTCATTAGCTGAAAAAATTGATCAAGTACAAAAAGAAGTTGGTTCAACTGACTTAACTGTTACTAATAATTCATTAGAAGTTGTTCAAGATATGATTGAAAATTTAACTGATGTACGAATTTTTCTTATTTAGAAAAACTAGAAATACTAGATTTTCATTATTATTATGTTTTTGTTTTTGTTTTTAGTTAGTTAATGCTGATCGTTATTATATTCGTCATGATGTTGTTACACTTCAATCACCATTAGGATTAAAAAAAGATCGATGTATTTTTTTATTTAATGATCTTATTATAATAACAATTTGTAAACGAAGAAGTGGAACTTTAACTAAAAAAACAACTAATTCAGTTATTGTGTATGTTTAAATTTTATTTATTTATTTTTATAGAATTGTATTTTATTTATTAAGAAATTCTCCATCTGGAAAACAATATATTGATAATGCAAAACATAAATTAATAATGAAAATTTCACTTGAAAGTGTTGATCTTGCTGCAGGTTAGTTTTATTAAATTAAATTCGATTTTTAATTCAATCGATTCTTTTTTTTTAATGTTTTAAATAAGAAATCGATGATATTTTTATAATTGAAACTAATTTTTGATTTCATTTATTTGATATATAGTTCATAGAAGATATATTTTATCAGGATAGATCTTAGTTGTTTAATTATGTACATTAATGCGACTGAATTACATGGATAAATATGTATAGAACATATTCGTTTATACGTCTACATTTTTTTTTCTGTCCGACGTATATTGAAGAAATCGTTTAAAACCAACTTTTAAGTCATTTTTCAAATTTAGTTCTAATCTGAGTGTTTATCCTATAAATTATCTTTCTCTTGTCTCTTGTTTTTCAATTCATTTAAGATAACTATATGGATTAATGTATTCTAATCATTTGTTAAAGATCTAATTATCTTTTTAAAAGATCAAAATGTTTAATTTAAAGTTAAATCAAAAAAGAAAAGAGTTCTGGTATTAGATTTTCTCAAATAGACATAATCATATTGTACTGTTAATAAAGCATGAAGAAAAATATTTCTAGTTATTTATAAAATTCTCAAATGTTAGTCAATAGTTCATATAATACTAGAGAAAGATTTAATAGAACAGCAAATAGAGAAAGCTAGTTTTTTTTTACTGATTTTTCTTAAGTGATACTTCATATTCAGATCTATTTATATATAAGATTTTTGTTAAATAAATGTAAGATGAATTGTTGATATTTTCCATACAAAAAAAAATAAATTAAAAGAACAGTATAAATTAACTTGATTTTTTTCAACGAAGAAGGTTTTTTTTTTTTTTTTTTTGGTATATTTATATTAATTTAATGTGTTATTAATAAAGTCTTGGAAAAAAGTTGAAGAAGAATATCTATGAGAATTGATTACTTTTTAAACTATTTTCTTTTCATGAAATAAAAAAAATTAAGAATTTTTTTTTTCAAGATTAATCAATATTAGTTCAATGTTGAAAAAAAAAAAATATTTGTTTTTTATTTGAAAAAAAAAAAGATCATTTAAAAAAACGAAAATCGTCTGTGTCAACTCCTCCATCATTATTAAAATCAAATTCAATATCAAGTACAACTTCAGAAAAACATCGAAATCTTGAAGAAGATGTTATTATTCTTGGACAAATGACGAATTTAGCTAAAACAATGACTGTACCTCATCAGGTTATTATTATTATTATTATTTTAATTTATTTTCTTAAATAAAATTTCTTAAATTATTATTTAAATAGCAATTAGATGATTTACTAAAAGAAACTCTTAATAATATAAATAAACAATTAATTGATGAAACAATATCTACAACAAATATTCGAAGCACAACTCCAGATCCATTTATTCTATCTGATAATATACAACAAAAATCAAATAATATTCAATTAATTATACATACAACGTATTTTAAAAATTAAATAAAGACTTTTTTTTATTTTAATTAATATTTATTTATTTTCTATAGAGAACGTACAGAAACAATTGATGTTATATTTGCATCATCAGAAGATAAAATAATATGGGAAAAAAGTTTTCTTGAAGCGAAAAGAATTCTTTGTATGTTTTCTATTTAATTAAATCATTTTTTGTTTTTTTTTAATTTATTTTATTTTCAGTTGAAACTGCTGCTGGTAAAAGAAAAGTTATTTTTCAACATGTTCTTACTCTTCCATATACTCGACCAGGAAGTCAAGTTCGTTTTATTTTATTTAATAGATAAATAATAAAAAAAAAATCTTTTATTATTTAGTTTTCATGTGGTGTTGCTCGTTCTTATTCAGATGATTTATTTTTATGTTATACTGATGGTGATATATATTTAATTAATATTGAATCTAATGCAACATTAAAAAGTTCGAATAAAATTCCATTATCAGGAATAAATTGTATTGGATATATTCCATCAAATAAAACTCGTCGATCATCAGTAAATATAACTAAACAAGAGGATGATCATGATCATAATCATCATCATCATCATCATCATCGTGGTCACGATAAACGTAATTCAGTTTTTCAAGAACAATTAAATACTTATAGCAAAGCAAGAACTATTGATTCATTACTTGAAATTGATTCAAGTGATGATGATGATGTGATAAATAATGAGGAGAATTTATCATTAAATGAATCATCATCAAATTTATCTGAAAGTAATTTAAATAATGAACATTCAGAAACAAGACAAGCTACAATATGGTTAGGAACACGAGATGGAGGGTTTGTTTTAGTTTTTAGTTTTTTTAATCGATTTGATATTTATTTTTTATATCGTTTAGTTTATTTATATGTGAATGTTCACAAACAGTAAAAACATTTGGACGAAAAAGTCGAATATGTAAACAATTAAATTCTTCAATTCATTCAATTTTGTTTGTTTATTTTATTTAAAAAAAAAAAAAAAAAAACAATATTATTTTATTTTATTTTATTTTATTAGATATACCGATAATAAAGTATTTCTTGCTTTAAATTATGGACAATTATGTATTTTTACTAGAGATATAAGTAATTTGTATTTATTTGTTTTTTTGTTAAAAAAAATAATTTGTTTTTTTTTTTTTGTTGTCGATTTTAAGATGATCGTTGGGATTTTGATTGTCCAATAATTAAATCAATTGAAGAAAATTCTAAAAAATCTGATAATGGAAATGGAGAATTTAATAATGATGAAAATAGTGATCGTATATCAATATTAACATTAGTAGCTGGTAGATTATGGTGTGCTATACGAGATAAAATATATGTTGTTTGTCCAAATTCATTAAATGTTGAAGTAAATAAATATATTTATTTAATATTAAATTAAAACAATTGAATTTATTTTAATAAAAGCATTCATTTATTGTTGATGATTGTCATCGTCATGTATCAAGTATAGCAGCAGGTGGATCATCAATGCATCATGTATGGATTGCATCACAAGGTTCACATGAAATTCGTCTTTATCATGCAACACATTTTGTTTGTTTACTTGAAACAAGTATAAGAACGGCAGTTACACAAAAATTACAAAGTTAATTCATTTTTGAATTTTAAAAATAAAAATAAAAATAATTTTGTTGTTTTTAGCATGTGATGATATAATTCGTGCTCATAAATTAGGTTGTCTATATGTAAGTACACTTTATGTTTGTAAAGAAACATTATGGATTGGAACAAGTTCTGGTGTTATTCTCAATTTAACAATTCCACAATTAATTGATTCATTATCAACAAGTACAAATAATAAATTAACATCAAATTCTATTCAATTAAAAGGTTTATCATATGGTCATGCTGGACCTGTTAGATTTATTATTTCAATTGATAAAAATTTTATTTCAACAACAGAAGAAGGTACAACAATTAAAACATTTGTTATTACTATTGGAGATGGTTTTGAAGATTATAATAATAATGATGAAACATTAGGAAAAGATGATGCTCTTTCACATCTTATTCTTTGGAAAATATGATTTTAAAATTTATGTCTATTAACAGTTTATGCTGCTGGTCAGTTTATTTTCTTCATTTCTCTCTATATAATTATGTGTGCCTTTTTTTTTTTTTTTTAAATAAACTAAATATATTTATTTTGTTTTTTAAACTGTTCTAAATTTAAAAATGTTTGTTTTTTGCAACAGTAGAATAAAGTTGTAATTAATCGATTGAATATAACAATAAAACAAAGAAAAAAAAAAAAAGAAAAAAATTTATTAACTGGGCTTGGCCGGGGATTGAACCCGGGACCTCTCGCACCCTAAGCGAGAATCATACCACTAGACCACCAAGCCATCGATCATCATTGAAATAAAACAAGATAACCTGTGTATCAATCATTTATTGAGTTGAATAGATTTTCAAATAAGTTTTTTTTTTTTTATTTCTAATTTCAATTAATAAATTCTTTTCTATTTATATAAAAATTAAATTCTGTATTTTTAATATATAGAAAATATTCGATCAGAAGAAAAAAAAAATCGATATTAATCATGTCAATATATATATATATAACATGAATGTCTACCTGTAAAAAAACAATACAGAACGGCAAAAGACTGGCCATATTTAGTATAGCATATGTTCACATGGTTTTATCTTTTGTAAAATAATGTATAAATATGCTGACTACTCAGCCGTGAAATATTCTCGAGTAAAAAATGATGAATTCAGAAAGGTAAACGTGACCATTTATTTTCTTTTTTTGACGCATTGGTTTAATATTTACACGGGAGTACTTATATATAAACATATATATATTACATTTAAATTACTCATAGAACTATTTAATCATGGTATGATATATAATTATTTCAATATTTTATTTATAGTTTATTATTTTTAATCATAATAGAGTTTGCAAGGTGATGAAGGACAACCACTAACAAATCTTAATGATGGAAATCATACAACAAAAACAACAAAAAAAAAGAAAGTCAAAACAGATCAGAAACAAGTTTATATGGATGATCTTAAAAAAGAATTAAATATTGTAAGTAAATACATTTTTATTCATCTATACATATTATATTTATCTTTTATCTTAATAATATATATACGAATATCTATATAGATTTATTATCTACTATATTTTATTAACACTTAAATAAATCAATTTTTATGTTTATTGTCGAATTTTTATTTCAAAATTTATTAAAGTTTTATTGAGAATATTTCATATAAAATAATTCGATAGATGAACATTAAAAGACAAATTATTCTTTTTATGATTAAATTTAAGTTATCGACATTTATGAAACGACAGCTGACTGATTAGTTTGACAAAGAAATTTATATATATAAATTATTAAAAATGAAATCAAAATCAACAGTCTATCTATATTGAAATCGAGATAGGAAAAATAAACTATGTGGAATCTATATTTAGTTTAAATACACTGAGAATATGACGATTAACATTTGTCGAATGACTTTTGTTCGATATGAAAGAATTATTTTCAGATTTATGAGAATTTTTCATTTAGACTATACTCAAAAACTTACCGAAAATGTTCTATATATGTCCTATTTGCAATAGAATATAAAATAAATTTGACTATGAAACGAAGTGAAGATGATATTTGATTTTCTTTTTAAGATAATATTAAATAAGCTTTTTTTAATATAGTATATCTCGTCGTTCTTTTTTTCTTCCATTTTTTGAATATAAAATGATTATATTGAATCATTTCGAGTCACTTTGTTCACAATAGAATTCCTAATTAGTAATTCTATTATACGATTCATCTCTCTTGACATATTGTTGATCGTTGAGAATAATGAACAAGTAATCAATTAAAAACAAAAGTCAAAAGGATAAATAAATAAATGATAGAATCTGAATATGAAAGATAATTTCGTGATCAGAGATCTATAAGATTATATGTTTGTTTTATCGCATCAGTTTTAGACTTGATTATTTTCCGAATAAATATTATTTGATAAGTTGTTTTTCGATGTTCGTTGATATATTGATAAAAAACAAATTGAATTAACATGTTCGATACATTGTGGATGTTTAAGAGTTTGTTTTTTGCAATATGTTTATATAACTTTAATTTAGGATGATCATCGATTGAATATGGAAGAACTTCTTCAACGATATGATACCGATCCTAAAATGGTAAGATATATTAAAAAAAAATGTTTAATTTATATGAAATGATTGTATTAATGAATTCTTAGGGTTTAACAGAAAGTAAAGTGAGAGAAGTTTTTAATCGTGATGGTCCAAATGCGTTAACTCCATCAAAAACCATACCCGAATGGATGAAATTTTGTAAACAAATGTTTGGTGGTTTTGCTTTTCTTCTTTGGATTGGTGCAGTACTCTGTTTTATTGCACATGGTATAACAGTAGCTACACATTATGATGAAGCACCTAATGATAATGTTTGTATTAATATAATAATTTGTTAGTTTAATTTTAAAAATAAAAACAAAATTGATTTAGTTATGGCTTGGTTTTGCATTAACTGTTGTTGTTGTAATAACAGGTTGTTTTTCTTATTATCAAGAAGCTAAAAGTTCAAGAATAATGGATTCATTCAAAAATCTGTAAGACAAGTTTTAATTAAAATAAATAAAGATTTATTTATTTCTTCCAGAGTTCCACAAGTAAGTATTGTTTAACAATTAACTCTTATGTTTATATAATTAATATTAGCAAGCAATTGTTATTCGAAATGGAGAAAGAAAAAGTGTTAGATCAGAAGAATTAGTTGTTGGCGATATAATTGATATTAAATTTGGTGATAGAGTACCTGGTTTGTTTCATATTTTTGTTTAGTTTCTTTCTTTTGTTTTTTTTTAAATATTTCTATTAAATAGCGGATATAAGAATATTAGAAGCTAATGGATTTAAAGTTGATAATTCTTCATTAACTGGAGAATCTGAACCGCAAATTCGTATAAAGGATATGACACATGAAAATCCATTAGAAACAAAAAATTTAGCTTTTTTAAGTACATTTGCTGTTGAAGGTTTGTTTTATTTGAAATATTTAATAATTTATTTGTTTATAATTAAAAAAAAAACAAACTAATGTGTTCATAGGTACAGCTAAAGGTATTGTTATTCGTACAGGTGATCGTTCAGCTATGGGTAGAATAGCCAATTTAGCATCGGGTTTATCAACAAGTGAAACTCCAATATCAAAAGAAATAGCTCATTTTACTCATATAATAACTGGTGTTGCTATATTTCTTGGTATTTCATTTTTTATAATTGGAATTATTCTTGGATATTCAATAATTGATGCTGTTATCTTTCTTATTGGAATTATTGTTGCTAATGTACCTGAAGGACTTTTAGCTACTGTTACTGTACGTTATTTATTTTTATTTAAAACAAAAATTTTCATGTTTTTCTTATGTTTTTTTTTAAAGGCATGTCTTGCATTAACAGCTAAACGAATGGCAAAAAAAAATTGTTTAATTAAAAATTTAGAAGCTGTCGAAACACTTGGATCAACATCAACTATTTGTTCGGATAAAACAGGAACATTAACACAAAATCGAATGACTGTTGCACATATGTGGTTTGACACAAGAATTGTTGAAGCTGATACAAGTGAACATCAACAAAGTAAGTTTTCTTGTCATTTTTTATTTTTTCATTTTGATTTATTATTTTTTTTAAATTTAAGATGCAACATATGATCGAAATTCTACTAGTTGGTTAGCCTTATCTCGTTGTGCAATGTTATGTAATAGAGCTGATTTTAAACAAGATCCGGAAAATTTATCAAAACCAGTTTTACAACGTGAATGTACTGGAGATGCATCCGAATCAGCTTTACTTAAATGTGTTGAATTATCAGTAAATAAATAAATAAATAAATAATAATTATTTATTTAATATTGATTATATAGATAGGTAATGTAATTAATTATCGTGAATCAAATCGTAAAGTATTAGAAATTCCATTTAATCCAACAAATAAATATCAATTATCAATACATGAAATGCGTAGTAGAAATGATCCAAATAATCTTCGTCTTTATTATTTATTAGTTATGAAAGGTGCACCAGAAACAATTCTTGAAAAATGTTCAACTATTTTTATTGATGGACAAGATATTCGAATGAATAATTGTAAGATTTTATTATTGTATTTATTTTGTTTGTTTTAATTTTGTTTTTTCTTTTTAAATTAGTTTGGCGAAATGAATTTCAAATAGCAAATACAGAATTAGGAAGTTTAGGTGAACGTGTTATAGGTTTTTGTGATTTACGTTTACCAACAAATAAATATCCAAAAGGTTATCAATTTGATGCGGAAAAAATGAATTTTCCAGTTGAAAATCTTCGTTTTCTTGGTCTTATGTCAATGATTGATCCACCAAGAGCAGCTGTTCCAGAAGCGTTTGTTTTCATTTTTCTTTTTTTCATTTGAATAATATTATTTAAATAAATATATTTATTTATTATTTCTAATTAGTGTTTCAAAATGTCGTTCAGCTGGAATAAAAGTAATTATGATAACAGGTGATCATCCAATAACAGCAAAAGCTATTGCACGAGCTGTTGGAATAATATCTGAAGAATCCGAAACAGTTGAAGATATATCTCAAAGATTAAATGTACCTATTGAACATGTTAATTCACGTGATGCGAAAGCTTGTGTTGTTCATGGAGATGATTTAAAACATATGACATCATCACAATTAGATCATCTTTTAAAAAATCATTCGGAAATTGTTTTTGCAAGAACATCACCACAACAAAAACTTATTATTGTTGAAGGTTAGATTTGTTTTTTTGATTAGAATTTTTAAAAAAAAAGAAGAAAAAGAATTTATTTTTATATTAATTAGGATGTCAAAGACAAGGTGCGATTGTTGCAGTCACTGGAGATGGAGTTAATGATTCACCGGCATTGAAAAAAGCAGATATTGGAGTAGCTATGGGTTTCATTTCATTCTATTTTCTTTTTCATTATAATTATATCATTTATTAAAGGTATTGCTGGTT